TTAATGTAGTGTATGGGTTATTATTGAGTGGAGTAACTCCACTAAGTGTTATTCTTGAAGTGAACCCCTCATTCTGTCTCTCTCTCCTCTCTCTCTCTCTCTCTATATATATATATATATATAGAAAATTAGAAAATACATTAAAAATAACTATTTTATTAAATGTAAGTAAAAATTCATGTAAAAATAACAAACTTTTACCTTTGACTTTCACTTTAAATTATATTTATATCAAGTCAATCCCCACCACAAATGAGTGTTTCAATAGATTCTTCATTTAATTTAGACCAAAATTCATTAATGATTCTCTCTATAGCACTAAATGTTGATTCTCATGCTATAGTTGAGATTGGAATGACAAGTATATCAGCAATCATCTTTAACAAAACCTGATATTTCATGTTGTTGTTCCTCCACTACTCCAAGGCACTAAATAAGTTATTATCACTAGTGGAAAACGAGGCTTTTACGTCACCTCTTTCTCATCGGACTTAACAAAAATTGACGTAAAAAAGATGCAGTGACATTTTTTGTAATTTTTGTGAACTTTTTTACGTCGGACCTGGTAGGGTCTGACGTAAAATGTAAAAAGAGTGCATGGGAGGCACACGCACGCACGCACTCACTCGGATCTCATCAGTTTTCTAGATTTTTCTCCGTATAAACCCTCTCTCTCTCCTTTGTTGCTAAATCATTTTTTCTATCTTCTGCAGAGTGGGGTGAACTCTTCGTTACTCATTCGCACATTGTTGCAGCTCAGGTATGAATCGCTAACACCTTTTATCTTCGCATTGCTATTGTGGCTATTTGTTCTATTCAGTCTTTATGTTGTTCTATTTGTTTAGGTTGTTGGCCTTTTCTTCTGGGATGTTCTATCAAGCAGAACGACCCGTTCTCCAAGCAGAATGGGTCGTTCTGCTTGCACTCATTATGTTTTTTTTGTTTACAACTTTTTTACGTTGGATCTTGGCAATGTCCGACGAATTTACGTCGAATTTCACAATCGACGTAAATTTACGTCTTCCGCTTTAACGTCAGACTTTTTTCTGACGTAAAAAGCTTAAAATAACCGACGTAAATGACCTCTTTTTGTACTAGTGTATGATCCCTTGGAATATAAACTCCGTCATCAAGATAAGTTTGTAATTTTGATTTCATTAGAAGAATAACTTCATTTTCATGCACCATGCTCATAATATGGTCAAATTCAATTATGATTGAAGAATTAACTCTAATAGAAGATGTTAAATTATTGTCACCATGACCTAAATTCAATTATGATTGAAGAATTAACTCCAATAAAAGATGTTAAATTATTGTCACCATGACCTATTTATACTGAAGATGATTCTCACAAACTCAAAATCATATACTCATCATATAATTGTTCCAATGACTTTTGAACCTTCACTACATTCTTTTTAGCAACATCCTTGGATTTATATATATATATATATATATATATATATATGAATATTTTCTTGTATTTCTCTTTTGTTATTTTTTTTAATCAAACATATATATATATATATATATATATATATTATAAAGGGGATATATTTTGGTAACCACCCTTTTGGTCTCCATTTTTTAGTGGACGATTATACCTCTTGAATATAAAAAAAAAACTTTCTTATATTTTTGCTAAATAATTATCCATAATTTATAATATTTATTTGTGTATAACTATTAGAGACACGAAATGTCTCGGCCCCTCTAGTATATATAAAGGGGAAACATATATCAACAATATGAAATTTGACCATAGGATCTAAAACACTTGTAATAGTCGTAAGTAAATTACATTACCCTCAATACTTGTCAAACTTCATTTTCATTGGAGCTATCATTTTTCTCATAAAAAGATCTTCAGCTGCCCATCAATAACCATTTTCACTCTCCGCACTTCTGTAAGATATAAATTTGTAGTAGGATACTCACTTCTTGAAATTATATGTGTAGCTAAATTAAATACTTCCAAAAGCTTACAAACTTTCTCAACTTTGTTCCAATCTTCAAGTGAAGGTGCATAATCATAACGTGGCTCCCTTTCCTTGTATGTTGCAAAAGCAATCTTAAACTTTAAAGTAGTTGATAACATTTGATATGTGGAATTCCATCTTGTTGGACAATCGATAATTAGTTTTCTATCTTTTAGATGCTTTTGTTCAACATCACAAAAAGCCTTCAACCTAGAATCATTATAATTGATATACTTAACACTTTCACGTACATTGAAAATAATAGCCTTAATCTTACCTAGTCCATCATGCACTAGTAGATTCAATATATGAGCACAACATTTAACATGAAATAATGAATCATCCAAAATTAACTTAGTACTTAATGATAAGTTCTCCTTTAGAGTTCTCAGGCATGAATCATTATAAAATGCATTATCGAAGGATATTGAAAAAACTTTACTTTCAATATCCCAAGCCTTTAAGCCTTTAAAAATTGCATCAGTCTCATCAATTCCACATCTTGGAGCAAGAACTTTCACAAAACTCAAATCTTTTTTGAATTTCCATGTCGCATCAATGAAATTACCGATGATAACCATACATTCAGTTATTAAATAGGTCAGGCTAGACCAAACTTTAAAGAGACCAAGCCATAAACCCTTATTTAAGGTCTAACCTATTCTCATTCCTAATCATGACATTAGGTAGCTTAACTAAACATCCTATGAGATTAGCCTACTGACTACCCTCCAAATACTATGTCCTTCTGATACTCAATTAGGAACTAAGTTATCGACTTTGTACTTTACTTGATCGGTCACTTATAATCAATATAGTTAACCTAGCCCTTATATTGTGGTTGCTTTATACACATGATTCTCGACCTTGTCCACACATGATACCAATAGTTCTAAAGGAGACTCAACATAACTATCCGTTTCAAGGGTCAAATTTATAAGAAAGGTTTTCAACAAATTCGACTCTCGATGCACCACTACACAATATCCACATGATATGCAACTTTCGAAGATATCCCCTCTAGTCCTTTGTTGGTCATCACAACTCAACAACATAATGCCAAGATGCTAGAAACATTCTCAGCATTCAACATCTCATCAACATAGTAACATCATACATATAACAATATTCAACACAATTACACACAACTTACAACTCATTTCAACTTTCAAATAACAACTCACAAAAAAATTACACATACAACCACATCCATGCAACTCATTCATCCTTATATATCAATACACAAATTAAACAATAAGTAATTCAACAATTCAGCACATACATTAACAATTTTTCTTCAACTATCAGCGTTTCGTGCTGCACACTAATGTTTGACGCTATATAACCAAGAAACTCTCTACCTCACCCACGCCTAACGCTACACAATCCATAGTCGACGTGGCTAAGGTAGAGTCCTCTAAGACCTCACGTCTGGCATGGTGAAGTACCATGCCTAGCCATATCTTAGATATAGAGTCTTTTCTTAACATCATGCCCGATGTTGCCATACTAGCGCCCGACGTCACCTAGGCCGTAAGCTCTCTAGCTTGACCATGTTGGGCGCCACTCAACCTTAGGCTCAATGCCACCAAATTAGAGACCTCTCAACATTCTCATGCCCAGTGCCATTTAAACCATGCTCAGTGTCTTTCCAACCTGAGACAAATTCCTCTTCTCATGCTACCAATCTTATGCTCAACATAATCGAGATGTAAAGCCTCAAACTAGAACAACACTCAATGCCACAAAGTCATGTCGAACACAATACTATAATTTTGCATTTGTAGAATCTAGTTTTGAGCCACAACCTAAAACTCAATAAGGATCCAACATGCATCACTAACAACCAACTATATACATCATAACTAACACAAAAATGTACCCCATGCAACAACAAGAATTTAATTTGCCATATTCAAACCAACATGTTTCAAAAGCCCAAATCCCAACTTAGGTCATTGTACTTCAAATCATACAACTCAGTAGTAACTCGAATTAACATAATCCACAACAATGCAACAACTTTGCTATACTAACAAACTTTCAACTTTCCTTACCTCGAAACCGAAGAGAACTAGGGAAGGAGAAAAAAATATTAAATGTGAAGACATATTGGTTTATTTTATCCTGTTATAGAAAGTTATCATGTCACACCAACTCCAACATTTGCTATTCTTTACACATTTATTAAAATAATATGTAAATATATAATAAATTAAAAAAGTTCATCCATATAATTCATGACAATCTATATTTATCAATATATTAAAGCAATGTTTTCATCAAAATAACGTGTTATTGGTTTCTTGTATCAATATTTTGTAGTGAAAACTTAAATATAGGGATTTTTTTCCCGAAAAATCTAAAATACTTTTCCTCCAAACAAAAATACAATTAAAAAATAAATAAAAATCAATAAAATCAAAGGATATGTACCGTATAAAAATGAAGATTGTAAAATGTATAAAATTCACATGCATGAAAAATATTGTTAATTATATTAAATTATTTAATTATAATTTATTTTGGTTTTGGTTTGAAACAAGATATGTCTATGAATAAAAAAACAAAACAAAAAACTTATCATAATTAAAGTTTTTCTTTAATAATATATATTTACATTTTTAATGTAAATTTCGATAATATAAATTTGCACATATTATCGAGATGTATTTGAAGAATAACACCGTAACTAAATTTTGTTCAGAAATATATGTTGTAGTTTAAAAATATTCTATATTTAATTTCAATTTGAATGGGCCTTCTTTTGGGTATAAATAGACACGAAGCCCAATCCATTGAAAAGTCAAAGTCCATCATTTAATGTAAGTCGGGGCTTTTTTTGGCAGATGATAAACACACCTCCACTCTCGTATAAATACACTCCCTTTTTAAAAAAAAATATATAAAATGTCTAAATTACCCTTAAAAAAAATTCCTAAATTTACACCCCCTTCCCCGCACTCCCTTTCCCCGCATCCCCTTCCCCCCTTCCCCGCACTCCCGCAATAAGGTCTCATTAAGGAACCGGTATTTTCATTCTGGTTCAACCGCAACCCAGAGGAAGAGGAAGGGGGTGAGATTGTTTTTGGTGGTGTTGATCCTGCTCACTATAAGGGAAAGCACACTTACGTGCCTGTGACCAAAAAAGGATATTGGCAGGTTATACTTTTTTTTAATTCTTAATTTTTTTTTTTATTTACATTTTTCTCTTTGTTAATTTTCATTTTTGTTTTCAGTTTGATATGGGAGATGTACTTATTGCCGGTAAACCCACTGGTATGTGTAGAAAATGTGTTAGCAGAAGTGACAAGTTGTTCTTCCCATGATGTATTGTTGGCATTTTCATTAATGCGTTATAGTTTCAATTTATTTGGTCTGACCTGATCTAATTGTCTATCAGGATATTGTGCTGATGGTTGTTCAACCATTGCAGACTCAGGGACTTCTTTGTTGGCAAGTCCAACGGTATGAATGAATTCTTGTAGATATAGATTAATATTTATATAGTTTTCAATTTAACATGGTTATATTATATGCAGAACTGTCTCTGTCAGTTCATGATAATAATTTTTTTTAATAATTAGTGCATTGTTTATAATTTCCATATGAAAAAAGGTTAAACAAATGCTTCTGACTAACTTGTTTCTACGATCACATTTTTGGTTTTGTTCTTGAAGATTGTAATAACTATGATTAACCATGCAATTGGAGCATCTGGAGTTATAAGCCAAGAATGCAGGGTTCGGGGAAGGGGGGTGCCGGGAAGGGGGTGCGGAGAAGGGGGTGTAAATTTAAGAATTTCATTTTTTTAAGGGTAATTTAGACATTTTATATATATTTTTTTAAAAAAGGGGGTGTGTTTATACGAGAGTGAATGTGTGTTTATCATCTACCGCTCTTTTTTATCCGTTACTCATGTCTAGGATTACTGCTAAAGACCGGTTGAACATCATGCAGAGAGAAACAAAGTAAGTTAAACAAGTCCAACTCAGGATATTATTTTATATAATAGTAATTCATGCATTTAAATTTGAATATTTAAACAAACCTTGCTTTGAATATTTTAAAAAAAGGATTGCAATAATTCATGCATTTAAATTTGTCAATGTGTAAAACAATTCAACCATCCTCAACCTATTGAAAAAATCTATCCAACACTAAAATAGTTCTACTACACAATCACAAATACATTTTGATAAATGAATAAAATATTATAACGGGTCAATTGGTTGAGTTGAACCCATTTTTACCCTATCTATATAAGAAAGAAATTGTGACAGTACCTTTTTTATTTTTACTTTTGTTGCATGTAGTTAGAATACACAGGGTCTAGAAAATAGTCCAACTATGTTTGTCACATGACCCTGGCCTTGTTTGTTATACCAAAAAGACACAAGGGTTTCTGTCACCGACCAAGAGGCAAGAGCACGCTTTGTCTGCATTTTTTTTTTCTCTGTCTTGTAGGATATGGTAGAGCTGTCAAACTGGGCTGGGTCTCAGTAAACCCGGACTATCACGGGTTTGAGCTGGGTTGGGTTGAAAAAAAATGAAAATCTTAATATAGGTTAATTTTGAACCCAATTCATTAATAACTTGACTCATTCGGGTTAAACCTGTGGTGAATTAGACTAGCCCACCAACACATGATTAAAAAAAAATACAATAATTATTAGACTATAGTGCAGCCCAACACAAGACAATAATGATTTAATGTTGGATTATGATTTGTAATTTTTATGATTTTGGATTGTATTTGAAGTTTAAGATGATTTTAGATTATATTTATCTATTTGAGATTATTTAGATTTGATTTGATTGTATTTAAAATTAACGTTTAGGATGGATGATCCATTTATAAATGTCTTAATTAAGAATATCATATTTTAAAAATAGGTTTGAGTTTTTTTGGGTTTTAGTTGTATATTAAAAAAAAAAAAAGATGATGAAAATTTTTTTTTAATGTGAGCCAACCTGTTTAACTCACTAACCCATAGTGGGCCAGGTTGGGTTAATTTTTTTGAGCTCACTCATAAATGAGTCGGGTTGCGTTGGCCCACCAAATGATCAATCATGGTGGGTGTAGACACTTAATTTCGTCTAGACCAGTAAATTAAGAAACAAACATCTATTTTGTGAAGAAAAGGAACTCTCAAGTATGGAAACAACAGGACATGACACCAAGAAATCTAAAGCAAAACAAAAAGCTGACTAAGTAGCCCAAAACGGATGTTCCCAGGCCAGAACGGCCCGTTTCCACTCTGGAACGGCCCGTTTCAAATCTGGAACGGCCTGTTTCCAACCTGGAACGGGCTGTTTCCAATATGGAACGGCCTGTTCCCAATATGGAACGGCCTGTTCTCAAAGTGTAACGGGCCGTTCTAATACTGAAACGGCCCGTTCCAAGCTACAGAAAATGGTCTAAAATCCTCCTATGGAACGGGCCGTTCCAGAATAAACATTTATGTCTAAATCTAGACTCTAGAACGGGCCGTTCTACATTTAGAACGGCCCGTTTCAAATACGAAACTAATGCATAACTGAAGAGTCCAGAACGGCCGTTCCGGATCTGGAACGGGCCGTTCTGGTCACATCTGATGTCTATAAATAGCGGGCTCTGCCTCTTTCTCAGGGTCGAAAAAATTGCTTCAGAATTCCTTATAACTCGAAATTTTTCTCTCTTTTTTGTATTTCTGGAGATCTGTGAGCTATCTGTGTACTGTGCAAGGTTGTTATAAAGCACTTATCTCCTTATTTATTTGAAGATTTAATACAGTTCATCTAAAAGGTATTTCAATTAATTTTCTTCTTTCTCTTCTTTTATTTTCTCATTTCTAATAACATCATCATGCTAAAAGCAATCATGTAGATGCCTTAGGAACATTCGTGCAATTTAAATTTCAAATATGTAAATAACCATTCATAAAGGGGATTAAATATTTAAATTTTTAATTCTTATTATGTTATTTTCATCTTAGGATGCTAATTTAGAACGTTGTAGGAGTGCTTAATATTTTGCGTACATGTAATTGACCCTCAAATCCAATTTGGGTTATTAAGGTCATTATTGAATATTTGAAAACCTTTTTTTTTTTAATGTTAAGAGTAATGAACTTATTTTTAAAATTATTAATTAAGGATTAGTTTAGTTTCCGGGAATTCTCTAATTAATGAGATTTTCAAACGGTAGTCTAAAACATTAGTTGTAAGATTAAATAGCTTTCTAGCCGAAATAAAAAAATAAAATAAAAAAATATACAAAATAATTATAAAAAATAACTATTTACCATAATAGGTGATTTTTTCCACGTAGGGGTCATGCTGGCACAGAAGGCACACCTACTCCTGCGCCATCTGTTGTGTGTCAGTTTTGTATTAAATGTACAAGGGGGATGTGCGTTTTTAATGCGCAGCAGATGGTGCACGTAAACCCTGCGCCTTCTTCCTGTCACAATAAGTGTGGTTATAATAAATGTGCAGAGATATTATCCTAAATAAGCATAATCATAATTCAAATTTACTTGTTGATTAAGTTAATTTAAAATAGAATATTTAGTCTATTTGTTTACTGGTATAGTTGCCGCAGTACATGTTTTCATGAAAGGAAAAGGTAGGATAAAAGGAAAAACATAGTACATGTAATTAATTTGGTTTGGATGGTTATCTATACACATTTTGAACATGATGGATAAAAGGAAAAATCTTTCTCTTTCCCTCCACGCCTGATAAAGGTGGTTTTTGCCACGTAGGGGCCACGCTGGCACAGAAGGCGCATCTATCCATGCGCCGACAGCAGTGACTAATCTCCTCGCTACGTTGGAGGCACCTCAAAGGGTGGGATAGTTGGCCCCAAGATTTAACGCGGCTGCATACACAACACAGGATTCGAACCCCTGACTTTGCTTAAGCGTGGATCAACTCCTACCGCTGAACCACACGCATGATCGTAATTTAAATTTACTTGTTGATTAAGTTAATTTAAAATAGAATATTTATTGTCTATTTGTTTACCTGTATAGTTGCTGCAGTACATGTTTTCATGAAAGGAAAAGGTAGGATAAAAGGAAAAACATAGTACATGTAATTAGTTTGGTTTGGATGGTTATCTGTACACATTCTGAACATGATGGATAAAAAGAAAAATCTTTCTTTTTCCCTCCACGTCTTTTCTCAACCATAAATCAAAACTAATCTTCCGTAGCTTCAAAATGGTTGTAAATATTTGGTTTAAATAATTTTTAAACCAAAAATTGTTATTTATACTATCTAATATAATATTTTATTTTTAACATTTTGAATTTATTTTATAATATAAAAATTAATATCATTATTCATTCCAAATTAATATCAGCAACATTTAGGAACTTTTGATAATGTTTAAATTCATTATGACTTTGACAAGAAATATCTAATTTTATCGAGTGTAAATAAACGTAATATTTGACTTTTTTTTTTAAGAAACTTAATTTATTTTTTTAGAATTTATTTGATATTTATATAATTTGTATTCTATTTTAAATTTATTTCAAATAAACCTCAATTAATGTACTTTTATAATTGTCACTTCACAGTGAAAGTTTTTTTTTTAATATTTTTTGTAAAAAGTATTTAATTAATTTTTTTAGTGATATGAGTATACTTGGTACTTGACAAAGACGAAAATAAGACACATTTATTTTCATGAGGTGTGGGGACAAAAAAAGTGTATAGAATATGAGAACAAAAATGAGGACAAAGTAAAACTTGTACTCGACACGCTTTATTGCTATCCCTATTGATATTAATGATATTGAAAATAAAGAAATAATATTTAACATTCTTTTAAAATTAGAAATCTAAATTAAATAATTTAAAAATAGAAGAGTCAAATTAAATTATATAATTTTTCCTATCTTTATCAAAAAATTATGTAAATTTAAAAGTACTAAATTGAATAATTATTGATAAAATATTTTGTTTCTATATATATGTAACATTTATTTATTTTAAATTGTTTTAAATGTTTTTAATTACTGTAACTTTTTTTATTGGTTTTTGATTAATTTGATTGATTAATTACTTAGATGAAAGAAATGGTAACAAATAAGAAATAAAATGACACTTTTGATTTTTTTATATATGTAAAATGGTTTTTCTATTTTAAAATTATTTAACTTGGTCTTTTAATTTTAACAAAATGTTTCATCAACTTCACTAACGCGTTAATTTAAAAGAATATGACAATATTATTTTTTTATAAATTAGAAAAATAAATTAAATATTTTAAAAATAGTAAAAGGAAATCAAATAATATATAAATGAAAAGAGGGGAACTATAATTTAACCTAAATTTTTATCAGTATGCCACCATGACATGCTAAATCCCACTCTGTCTTTTCTTTTGTGAGCCACCAAACTGCTATCCCTGAGCATTTATTATAACCACACTTATTGTGATAGGTGAAGAAGGCGCAAGGTGTACATGCGCC